CCTCATCACCACCATTTTGACAAACACATTTTTTGTGCTAGATGACCTTCTAGACTTTAGTACTATACAATAGTATATATATTATCGAGCACAATAACCATAATTATTGTTTTTGAGCCCACTTGAACCATTAGCAGTCTATGTGAGAATGAACAAACTAGAGAAGTACAAATAAGACAAGCAAAGTCATGAAATGTCTGTTTCTCATTAATCTCCCTTAGTTTTGATGTGAGATATAGTGGCTAGTATCTATAGTAAGAAGAAGGAAGCAAACAATTCTGCATTTACAATCGGAGAAGAGATATAGTAATGATTCATTTGAGTAGAACAATGGGCATGGCCCTGTACTAAGTTGAGGAAATGCCTGAGAGAGTAGGGATCATGCTTCTTGCATATTATGATAGGTATAGTAGCTTATCACCGCCCCGCAAACTAAGTATCCAAGCTTTGGAGAGTTAGTATGGAGCGGATTTGCTAAAAACAAGTTGGAGAGAGGGACTTTGTGAGCATGTCTGCAAGCTGATCCTGGGAATTGATGTGCTGAACTGTAACTTCATTGGAGTGTATGTGATCATGGATGAAGTGGTAGTCAATTTTAATATGTTTAGTACATGCATGGAAGACTGGATTGTTGGCAAAAGAAATCACTGGAATGTTGTCACAGTGTATTATGGTAGCTGTTGAAGTATTGATGTTGAAATCAGTGAGCAATCGATGCAACCAGACAATGTTGAAGGCGGTATAAGCGAGCGCCCGATATTCAAATTCGGTGGAGGATTTAGCCATTGTAGGTTGTTTCTTGACCCACCATGAGATGAGGGTGTTTCCTAAATAGGAATAGAAGTTGGTAGTAGATTTTAAGTCTGTTGGATCAGAGGCCCAGTTTGAGTTTGAGTATGAGTGGAGAGTGAGGTCACCTTATGTAATTGGAAGGCCTAGATGGGTTATGCCTTTGATATATTAATATATGATCCTTAATCGAGAGTCTTCTCGGGCTCCGGCCCGGGATGTAATTAACCACGGGGGCTTGCGCCCGTGGGAAACTTGGCCCCGCAATCTACTTTACCCCACTCGATCTCTTGTATCGGGTGGGGGAAACCCGTGACTAGGTCGTGTATATTACTACCCATCGGGGTGTGCTGGCGACAGCATCTATCCCCAATGGTTAGTCGTATGCACGATCCAATCTGCCCTTCCATCGACCCATTCGTGTCGAGTGTAGAGGCCTACGATCGTTTTGTCCCACGGGATAGTGCGGCCGTACCCTCTGCGTTCTTACCCCACGAGCGGTGTTCTTTCGGAGGTCCACACTGGCTTGCAAGTAGACATGCCCAAGGCTTTAGCATATTATGCTTGTTGAAGAAAATAGGGTGCTAGTGTTTTGTTGATTTGTATGCCTAAGAAGAGGGATGGTGGCCTAGGTATCTAATGCTGAATTTTTGTTGAAGTTTGAAGATGAAGTTGGTGATATTGGATGGATCATTACCTTAAATGAGAATATCGTCTATGTATAGTAGAAGATAGGTGGTGGATATTTTTGTTGAATGAATGAGAAGGGAAGGGTCAACTTTGCTGAGGTGGAAGCCTTGTGCAAGAAGGAATTGAGAGAAAGTGTTGTATCATTGGCGGGGAGCTAGGAGAAGAGTGTATATGGATTTATATAGTTTATAGATGTGGTTTGAGAAGATGGAGTCAAGAAAGCCATGTAGTTGATGCATGTATATAGTTTTATGAAGGATGCCATGTAGGAATGCATTTGATTCATCAAGTTGCAAGATGGTCCAGTTTTTGTGGAGGGTTGCATGGAGAAGGAGATGATGAGTATGCATCTTGGTAGCATCGTTGAAGGTTTTAGTGAAGTTAATGTCATGCTTTTGCTTAAACCTTGAGCTACTAGTCTAGCTTTGTAGTGGGCAATGCTTCTATCGGGGTTTAGCTTGGTACAGTAAGTCCAACGACAACCAATGATGGGTTGATTTGAAGGTGGGGAAGTGAGTGACCATGTGCCCTGTGCTGTAGGCCTTGGAATTTGTCAGTTTCTCCATTGAGAGTGTTTAATGGCTTGGAAGTAGCTAATGGGCATAGGGATAATTAAATGTTTGGTTGAGAGAGTGAAAATTTGCTTGAGTTTGAGATGACCTATTTTGAGATTGGTTTGCATAGAATGTATGAAGAGTTGTGGAGGTTGGTTTTGGGGAGATTGTGATGTTACTGGTGTTGAGGAGTGGGGTGGGGAGATTCGTGAATTGGAGGGTAGAACATATGAGTGAATGAAAGATGAATATGAGGACTGGGATGATTGAGGTGTAGCATTGGTGTGAGATAAGGAGTTGAGAATTAAGAGGAGTGGATTGGTGGAATGGGTGGGCTCAGGTTCATATGAGGAAGATTGTAGTGATGGTTGGTGGAATTGATTTTCATAGAAGATGACATGTCAGGATAGTATCATTTTGTTGGTCATGGGGTTAAAGCAGCAATAAATGTTGGGTGAGTTGGAATATTATCCCAAAAAAATGCAGACAGTGGAGCGTGGGGATAGCTTGTAAGGTGAAAGTGGTCGCAACCAGGGGAAGCAGATGCAACCAATCACTTTGAGGTTGGTATAATTGGGTTGTTGTTTGGTGAGGAGTTGCAAGGGAGGTTTGAGTGAGGTGTTTTTGGAGGGTAATTTGTTAATGAGAAAGGTGGAGGTGAGTAGGGCATCAGCCCAAACTTAGCGGTATGTTGGCTTCATGGAGGAGTGTATGAGTAGTATCAAGGAGGTGTATGTGCTTGCGTTCAGTGATACCATTTTGTTCTGGTGTATAGGGGTAGGATGGCTGATGTTGAATGCCTTGTTGGAGTAGGTAGTCTTGAAATTGGTTGGATGTATATTCTCCACCGTTAACTGAGCAAAGGTATTTTGGTGTTGTAAATATTTTCTATCATTGTTAGAAAGTGAACGAATGTATCAAATGTTTCATATTTTGAGCGCATGAGATACAACCAACAAAATTTGGAGTAATCGTCAATAAATACAACATAGTATTTGAAACCATGTATGGATAAAATTGGGGATGGTCCCCAGACATCACCATGTATTAATTTGAGAGGAGCATTTACATTATGTTTGATGATTTTCAAGGGTATTTTGTGGCTTTTGGCCAAATTATAGGAAGTGCAAAATATAGGGGAAGAGCTACATGATAAATTAAGGTTTTTAGCTAAATGCGAGGTAACAAAACTGTGTGGATGACCTAGGCATGAATGCCAGAGCTTGAGTGAGTTGCAGTGGGATGTTAAAGTAGTTGTAGTGGAGTATAGTTGGAGATATTAATTGGATAGAGGACATTAGAGTTAGTAGATCTTTGATGAGAAATCCATGGGATCAAATGAGATAGAGCAATTGTTGTCAGTGGTGAGTTTGTGAATTCATAGAGATAATATGAAATTGAGGGAACATGTAGGATATTTTGGACGAGTATCTTATAGTTGGGAGAGGATGTGGGAAGTAGTCCATTTCTGACATTTGAAATGGGGAGGTCAAAACTATCGTCGATGGACACATAGTCCTGTGGTAAGGTGAATGCTGTTGCAGGTTGGAAATATTAGTTGTTAGATGAGTAAAGGCGCCGAAGTCTAGGTACCAATCCAGAGATTGGTGTGTGTTGGTGTAGAGTCCTGTTGGTGTGGATGATGAAGGAATGTCTATTGCAGATTGCATTTATTCCAGCATTATAAGCTGAGTGAGTTTGCCGCAGCATGAGGTAGATGAGTTGTTTCATTGATATGGGACAGTGTTGCTAAAGGGTCATCCGTGATTGGGGCGGGTGAAGCGTCCTCGGGTTGCTGTGAAGGCCACATATGATGTATCAACGGGAGTGAGTTTCATATGATGTTGATTTCTCAATGTAGAGTAATGAGTATATGTCATCTAGGTTGATAGGTGTGAGCTTCATTCGTATGGAAATTTTGAAGGCTTGATAGGTGCTCGGGAGGCCATTTAGGATTGACAGTATAAAGTCTTCTGGATTGACGTGGGAACCTGCAGCGTTGATGCTGTCAACCAGAGTTTTGATGTTGGATATGTATTTGGTCATGGTGAGATCCATCATAGTGATGTTGTTGTCTCATTCTTGAGCTGAATCACACGAGATATGTTGGTTGGATATAATCTCTTTTCCAGTGTTGTCTAGATGGCGTTGCAGGTTGTAAGATTCAATATGTGGGGGAGGATGGAGGTGTAGATGGTGGAGCATAGGGATGAGAAGAGGTTTTGATCTAATAGTTGCTAGGAATGGTACAATGGGCTCATTTGAAGTTCGTTGGTTGCAGAGAGGGTGAGCTTGGGAGAGCATTTGGAGGTGCTGGTGAGAAAGCCGTCGAAGTTGTTGGTTGAGAAAATCTTTAAGACTTGTAGACGCCAAAAAGAATAGTTATCAGTGCTCAGCTGGACATGTACTTTGTTCTTGAGGTTGGATATCAGGAATTTCAGTGATGAGGGTATTGCGGTGTCTGGCATTACAACATTAGTTGGTGTCGTCTCTAAAGTACTGGAAGAGTTAGCCATCGAGGAAGATGACTACCAGAATATCCGTTGGGCTTTGGTATTGCTTTGATACCATGTGAGAACCAATAAACTAGAGAAGTACATAGAAGACAAGTAGAGCCGTTAAATGTGTGTTTCTCATTAATCTCCCTTAGTTCTCTTGTGAGATACATTGGTTAGTATATATAGTAACCAGAGAACATAGCAAATGATTGATTCATTTGAGCGGAACAGTGGGCATGGTTTTATTCAAGGTTGAGGAAATAGCTAAGAGAGAAGGGATCAAGCTACTTGCATATTATGATAGGTCGTGGAGTGGTTTATCAATCATATTTGAATTTGATATATACTAAAATAAATATGCAGTGCTATGTTCCTTGACCTTCGATATCTCCTCTCACTCTCTTCTTTATTTAATCATCCTTTAATATTTTCTCTGGTCTACAACAACTCTATTCTTTAATCATGTCAATGAAGAACTTGCCGGCCAATTAATTAAAACAAAATTTTCATATACAAACGAGAAGCATCGCTTGAAAGCGATTGATCCAAAAGATTATAGAAAAAAAAAACAAAAAAGAACTGAAAGGAGCAACTGGTAAGTTATCTCAGGAATGTTGGAATTAAGGGTTCTGGGATCATAAAGGAGTAAGAACTAAGCATCACAACCAAAGAAGCCATGCTTGGCCTCTGAGTTGGGTCTTCTTGTATGCAGAGTAGACCAATTTGTAAACATCTCAGCGCCTGCTTTGGCAAGTATCGATCTCCAAGAGTTTGATCCACAGCTTGCAGTGCTTGCCCTTCTTTCCAGTTTTTCCATACCTGCAAGACAAAGTTGATTGACTATTTTCTAGTAATCAACAAGGCCAAGATATATTTATGCTTACAGATCTTAGAAGATCCACAGAATCGATCGATTCGTCAAGACAAACGTTCCTTTGCCCAGTAATAATCTCAAGTACCAGCACTCCATAACTATACACATCTGATTTGATGGAGAATAACCCACGCAATGCATATTCTGGCGCCATATATCCACTGGAAATGAAAAAAAGTACAGATGATTCTGTAAAAAACTTCTTTAATTGATCAACTAAGGCTTCGTTTGGGACGGGGTTTTCTTCTTGCTTTTTAAAACAACTTTCTAGCACAAAAAATTTTTGAATTTGAAAATTTTGTACTAGAATTTCATTTTAAAAAGCAGTACGAAAACTATCCCAAACGATGCCTAAAGGAAGGCTTTTGAGTTAAAATAGTATGCTAACTATGTGCCGGCGATTCGACTTGTGTTTCCTTGAGCTTCCTCGATGCCAAAGAGCTTTGCAAGGCCAAAGTCTGAAATTTTAGGGTTCATATTGCTATCCAGCAAGATATTGCTTGCTTTCAGATCACAATGTATCACTCTGACGCGTGAATCTTCATGGAGGTAAAGAAGACCTTGAGCAATTCCTTCAATAATCTTATATCGCGTTCCCCAGTCTAATTGTACTTTCTGAACTGGATCTATTTCGTTTTGATGAAGGTTGTCAGTATAAAAGAAACTATGTAATGAAAAAAAAATTCTGATTCAGAAAAGATGAGGTGATCTATGTAACTATGTCGTTATTAATGGTTTAGAAACCAGTGCTACTACATCTATACTTCTAGGCCGTAAATTTCATCAGTGAATTTAGCAGACCTTTATCTGAATATGTTAACATCTTCAAATGGACTCAAAAAGTAAAAAATAATAATAATAATAATAATGGTTTAATTTTAGTCCTAGGTAAAATTAAGCATGGTAAACATCATAATCTCAATATGCAGGCTTAAATTTAATTCACCCTTTTAGTCCTAGCACTTGAACTCTGACAAAGCTAAATTACAATCAACCTTGGTTAAAAATTTAGGGGGATAATGATGTAAGAACATCTTAGTTATAATATAGTTTAGGTTTAGTATATCTTTAACATTCTAGATAGTTCTATTTTGCTTTATAAATAGCTAATGTAAGGAAGAAGAACATAAGATGAATATTATATCATTTTAAGCTTTTGAACTTGGTTTGTTCTCTTGTTATTGGTGTTCCTTCTAGTAGAACCGGTTCTTCTGTCGATCCACCACATTAGTTGGTATCAGAGACCGGAGCTTGTGAAGAATGACAGATTGCAAAAGAAGGCGGTTTGTCGATGACGATCGAAGCTAAAGAAGATGGATTGATGACGACGATCGACATCGAAGAAGATGGGTGGTCGACGATGATTGATGCTGCGAAGCCCTTCAGGCAGCTCAAGTGAATGCATCACTTGATTAAATATATGAATTATGTGCTAATTTCATTCATTCGGTGGAGAGAATTATGAGTAGGTCGGCAATCATACCGGCCCATCGCTCCTCTGCTCCTCCAACGTGCCCGCGTCTTCACTCCCATCTTCCACTTTTATCCCACTCTCGTGTTTCCAACCACCATGTTCACTCCAACTCATTTCACCTCCTGGTTCCGGCCCTTCCACACAATCCCGCATCCAGATTACTACCAAACCCGCGCATGAGATCGTCGATCCTCATCCGCTCCAGCGCGATCCCAAAGTTGCTGAGGAACCAAAAGAAGTAGCTGCTGTGGCTATTGTCGAAACTCCTCTTCTTATAGTCATGAGGTGGAATCTCAGGAAAACTCAGATATCATTTCCGATTTGTTTTTGGACGACATCGGCCTAATGTTCATGAAGGAGAGGGACCATAAGTTCCATATGCTTCGGAGCAACCCCGCAAACAAAGCTACTAAAAAAACCTTTTACGAAATCGTCAGTAAGAAGTATCCTCTGTCTCCGGATCATCCTTCTCTATACTCCAGTTCTAGCTTCGAGAGCACTGAAATCCATCTGCAACAATTCAACCACTCAAACAATTGCAATACCCCACACCGATTTTCCCACCTTCCGCTCCTTATACCCATCCAAATCAGCATTACTATAATCCCCACCTCAATCCCTCGAAACCTTAACCTCCTGTCAATCCCTACAATCCACCTTACGCAAAGTCCAACAACCTGTGCTTCCAACATTACGGCAACTTCTCCTCTCATAAACCACAGGACGAACACGCTCCCTCTACCCCCTCTCTTGATCCGCTCGTCACCTGCTTGCCCGCATCCGCTTGTTCTGCGCTCACGTGTCCTGTTTGTGACCCGACCAGCCGCCCTCGGTTTGGCATCCCCTGCTCGGATGTGCCCACCATTCGTGCGGCACGCCCGTCCTGCGCCTCGGTTCACGAGCATGACCGCACATCCTGTGCCCGCTCACGACGCCGACCCGACCATCGAGTCTTGTCCGTCTACACGCCGCACCTACTTCCGTCCTATCTATACCCCATCAAAGAACTCCTAGCAAATATCACGTCTCTGGTGGCGGCAAGGCATTGAGATTTGCATCATTCAAGGAGCAGCTAATGCTGCCATCATCGAATGTTGTTTTTGGCACTAGAGGGAGGGCAGGAGATGATACACTAGTTTACATTACAATTGATAAAATCCTTCTTCATGACAAGCTCATTCGACATCTTGTTAAAGCTGGGCACGATATTCATGTGGTTACCGCAACATCAAGGTTTGTTTTTACAATGGATAAAGAATCTATTAATCCTTAAATTTGGAAGGTCTTGTTGGATTCTGGTGTTGTTCAAACTAACGCTTTGACAGTGGATTGCTTAGCTTCCTTGGAGAAGTATCTTGAGATAGTTGTTGTGTCTCCACCCTCAATTTTGACAACTGAAGTTGAGTAGCTTAAGTCCATAAAGGCCGACTTAGTGATTCTATATATGCTGAGTATGTCATGACTACTGGAAATCATCTTCGCTCTATTGTCTTGAAGATATCTGAAGATTTTTCTCATTGTGAATTCTTACTTCGGCTTCCTGGATTTTATCCAATGCCCTCTTTTCGAGATGCGATTGATGTACCTCGAGTTGTCAGAAGATTACACAAATCTAGATTAGAGGTGAGAAAGGAACTTGGCATTGGCGAGGATGTGAAATTTCTTTTACTAATTTTGGTGACCGGCTAGCTAGATGGACACTAAAGCAAGAATGGTTACCTGATCTTTGGTTATGTCTGATCTATGGTGCATTCGACAAATAAGTGCTTCCTCCAAACTTTATAAAGCTTGCAAAAGATGCATATACTCTTGATTTAATACCAGCATTTGATTGCATGCTTGGCCGAATTGGATATGGTACTTTCAGTAAATCTTTAGCCTACAAACTACCTTTTGCCTTTGTAAGGAGGGATTATTTTAATGAGGAACCTATTCTAAGAAATATGCTTGAGTACTATTAGGGTGGTGTGGAGATGATAAGAAGGGATTTGGATTGGACATTGGAAGCCTTATCTTGAGCGTGCACTAACCCTTAGCCCATGTTATGATGGTGGCGTTAATGGTGACGAGGTGGCTACTAGAATATTACAAGATACTGTCACTGGAAAATGTCATTTGATAGACAAGTTGAGTGGAGCAAGGCGATTGCGTGATGCCATAGTACTTGGATCTCAACTATAAAGATCCCCTGGTAAGGATATTTCAATTCTAGATTGGTATACACAAGCTGAAAATGAACTTGGACTTTATTCTAAATCATGTCATTTTGGAGTAAATGGAAATGCAAGTTTTGTGGGATCATAAATTGCGAACTTTGAAATACTTCATGGTAGAACATCAGCTCAGACAGACTATGAGGAAGATGGTGAAATCAAGAAGTATAAAATCAAAATTATTGCTATGAATTGGGAAGAGGAAATATGTTCTTTTCAAGATAACACTCTCAGAATTCCCCGATGAGCAGTTTTCTGTAAATACAATAAAAATCTATGCCACAACTGAAAATGCAAATGATGGTTCAATTTCAAGAGAACCACTCAAGCATCCAAACTTCATGCGAGTAATGATTGAGCTTGCAAAACGCAAAATCTTCGACCCAGGGATTTGTTCATCTACACCAACCAACATTCCAATGACACGCTAATCCCTACCATCTCGAAATCGAGCCTTTCTGACGTGAGGGGAGAATGATGTAGCATCATCTTAGTTATAATATAGCTTAGGTCTAGTATACATTTAATATTCTAGATAGTTCTATTTTGCTTTATAAATAGCTAATGCAAGGAAGTAGGACATATGATTGTTAACCTCTGTGTAAACCACACAAAAGAGGAATGAAATCATGAATCCTGCATACCTCGTATACGACGACTCAGTTCAGTTCTCTGAGAATCCTGCCCGAAATCCCGCGATACTACTGTACATTCGGCGCCGAACCGATCAAATCCCGTGAAATCCTGCTCAAAATTGGTGATCTCGCCTCGATCGAGCGCCCAAGTTGTCGTTAAATACCGGACCAAGTGAGAGCTTCGGCACTGACTGGATCTCGACTCTCTCCCATTCGCAGATCCCACTCGATCGCAGGAGCTCCCCAACCCGTCGCACTCACGATCTCCTCTCGCACGAAGCTCTCTCCACGACCTCCATTCCTCTCCTCCGACTTCTTCCTCTCTCACGCCCAATCAAATCCCGAGCTCCACGCCTCCACAAGCCCTACCCGAGCACAAGCACTCGAATCTCCCTTGCCTCTCCCGATACCTCCACCTCCTTCGACTCCAATCCGACGTCAAAGCCTCAAGCTCCTCCCGATCACGCCCAATCAAATCCCGAGCTCCACGCCTCCACAAGCCCTACCCGAGCACAAGCACTCGAATCTCCCTTGCCTCTCCCGATACCTCCACCTCCTTCGACTCCAATCCGACGTCAAAGCCTCAAGCTCCTCCCGATCTCCTGGCTTCGTTTATCCACAGAGAGAGAGAGAGAGAGAGAGAGAGAGAGAGAGAGAGCATTCCTCTACCTTGCCTTGTCGTTCGATTCCCTACCCGACGTTTCCTCTCTGTTAGGATCGGAAGTTACAACCCTTCGATCGGGAGCAACACTTGGGAGCTCGTTGGCTGAAGGTAACTTTCTCCCTTTCATGCGCCTGTTCGGCCTAATCCCGTGAGCATGCCAGATTATAGAGAGGGAGTTAGGGAGAGGGATTAAATGCTCTTAATTATGATTAATTTTAATTATAATTATTTTTATTAATTATGTTATTATAATTAATTACAGTTAATTAAATTATTATAATTAATTTTAATTAATTATAATGAATTTAATTAAAGTTAATCTTAATTAATTGTAATTTTTTTAATTATAATTAATTAATTTGCTAAAAATTAATTAATATTAATTAGTTATTATTAATTAAGTTAAATATAATTAATTATTTTAATTAATTATAATACTTATAATTAATTATTCTAATTGATTATAATTAACTATTAAATATGCATAATTAATTAAATATAATTATAATTAGTTATAATTAATATAAAATGCTTCTTCCTTCTTTTATCTCGATCCGCGCCGACGACCGCCAAGGTATAACTCCTAAACCCTAAAACTCCGAGAACCCGTTTCAACACATTCGTCGAGACAAAACGACCA